GGGACCATCAGTTACTAAATGAACATCATGCTGTATGGAAGAAGACTTGAAACAAGAGATTGAGACCATAAACTCATCAGGAAACTGTTCACTGAGCTCATAAATCAAGTGAGAAGTTGGCACATTTCTCATTAAGACTGAATGGTATCGGAGCTTCCCCCTGCTGGCCATTACAGAGAATGCAGGTTTAAGGATTTAACACTTAAGACACTGCTGATTACCACAATTCGCCACGTGTTTGCGTCCCATGGCTCTCCAGTGTTTCGGTTTCAGGAGTGACCCTGTTAACTGCCGACTTTCAGACGAATATTTTAACGAACTGTTGACTTTATTCAGATGAAAGTCACCCGTTAACAGGGTCACAGACCCAGGAGGCAGGAGGAGGGATATGCAGGTGATTGGTACAAGCAGGTACTGAGATAAAATATTATCCTATCATACTCCTTACAAAGTAGTTGCAGCACTACCGCATACCTCCCCGTTGAGTCACTCTAAATCATCACACGGGAAATTCCTTTACCACAACAGCCCTCGTGATAGAGTTGTTAACACTGGGTTGCTGGTTTAATAGCTCCTTTAAGGACAGGGACTCCAATCAGAGAGTTTAGTCCAAATAAACTAAGGCGGCTCGACAACAATGAGAACAGTGTAAACAGAAAGCAGTAGACCTACTCCACACAGACTTTATACAACTTTCACATGTGCAGTGGTACAACCCGAACGCCTGGAAACAGAATCGATATCGATGACTGATAACAATGGACGATCATGTATCCTAGAGAGGCTTTAGGTAATAATAAATAAGTAAATAAATAACTAAAATTCAGGTTAAAGGTCAAAATGTTGTTTGTTTCAGTATCGATTATCCCTTCAATAGCTCTTTCTTAGTTTGCCTTCACGCTGACACACCAGTCGCTCTGTAAGCCCCGCTAGTACTGAGCTGATCAATGTGTACATGGCTCCTTTAATGCACAGCAGTGATAATTAGGCCCTGGAGGATATCAGTGAATTGACCCAGGGAATCCGGGCTGTGCTCAAGGCAGCGGCGCACATCGACTTCCTATTTCCACTGAGAGCTTTCACTCTTAAGGTATTAAAGTCTGCTGGATTCTGCTCTCAGTCAGCTTTGTATGTGTGTGTGAGAGATGAAGAGCAAAGGTGTGAGGAGGAAAATTGGTTTCAGAAATGCCAGGGGAAGTTACTTGTTGATGAGAAAACTGGTTCCTGTGATGAAATACAGTGTGAGTCAAAGTGTGATGCTATGATGTCTACATGGGATAAGTACTAACAGCTCTCGTCATCCCGGTTGTGTCCTTCAGGGCTGCAGTATGTTCACTTCAGTGAAGGCCTTCGAGGGGCAGCAGTACTCCACCCTGAAGAGGCAGTGCTTGCAGAGTGGCCTTCTCTTTGAGGACCCCCGCTTCCCCGCCATCGACGACTCGCTCTTTTACCAGGGCAACAGGATCGGACGTGTGGTATGGAAGAGGCCTCGGGTGAGTTGGTTTGTGCAGTGGAAGAGTTTCAACTGATAAAAGCTGACAGATATTTATGGTTTGAGGCTGCTGATAGAGATCTTTGTGACCATCAGACACCAAAAGTTACAAAATATGAACAATAGGTCAGTATGTTGGTTCGTTTTTGACACAATTAAAGGGTAG